CACAAGGAAGAATGTATGCAATGTGTTAATTATTGAAACTGTCCTACCAGTTTGGTTTGAAACTGTCTCATTGCTATTTGTTTCTCAATAAAATTATGGAAAAAAAAAAAAACAGTGGGGCCATCTTTGTTAATTTTCTTGGTATGTGAAATAACACCATAGCTTTTCTTTTTAAGAGTACAAATTAGAATTAAAATAAAAAATTACAAGTGATAGAAAATTCAAAAAACAAAGTAATATGAATTTCATAGTATTTGTAATATGTAGTGTTGTCTTCCAATCAGTTAATCATAGTATCAGATATACATATGTAAAACTGGAAGAAAGAAATATATAAGAAATTAAGAGGAAAAAGTACAAACAATTGGAAAAAGAGATAAAACAAATTAAAGCATTAACTGCTTACTTCCATAGACCAGCAGAAATGCACAGTAGTTGTCTACCCCATCCTGCTTACATTTAAAGATAAATCTCGGGCCAGTCAAATAGCTGGGTAGTGTGCCACCACCCGGTGGCACATGCCTATAATCGCAGCTCTTGGGAGGCTGTAAACAGGTGGATCACTACCAGTCCGATCTTATAGAGACTCTGAACACCCTGTACACCCTTCCCTAAAAATAAAAGAACAACAACAAAAAAAAACTTCTTTCCCCCACACCCTCTCCTGTCCTCAACTCAGCAGCACTTTCCTTTTGAGTAAGTTCATCCCCTTTTCCTAGTACTTTTCCAATTTTTATCTTATAATAAAGCTATTTCCTCTGGCTTATAGGTAAGATCTCTACAAGCTTGGCAACAGACAGTGGACCAGCGTCTAAGTTCCCGGCACACTGATGTTCCTCTTATCTCAAGTACTCTGGCACCAGCTGAACCTCCTTTGTTTACCCAAACTCAGAAGCCCTCTCCTGATCAAATTTCTAATTGGTTCACTGCTCATGATGAAGCTCTTCAAGAGAAATCCTTACCAGAATTTCCAGACTCTGGTTTTCATTCCTCCTTAACAGAACAAGTTCACTGTTTGAAGGATTCTTTAGATTTTGAAAAAAGTTCCACAGAAGGCAGTGAAAGCTCCATAATTGGAAATTCCATTGACACAGTTAAATATGGCAAAAAGCCAGATTTGGGAGATGTTAGTGAAGAACATAGTGGTGACCGGAGTAGGGAAAGCTCAACCAATGAGCAAGATAACAGTCTGCTTGAACAATACTTAACTTCGGTTCAGCAGCTACAAGATGCTGATGAGAGGATAAATTTTGATGAAGTGACAGGAGATAGTAAGTTTCACTTAGCTTGTTCCCTGGAAAAGTTAGATACACTGTCTGACAGGGCTTCTATAGTTGAGACTCATGACCTGTCTTCTCCTTCGCAAGATGAAATCAGTCAGACACCAGAGAATTATAAATTAAATGCAGAAGTTCAAGGGCAGCAGCCAGAATGTGACTCTACATTTCAGGTACTGCATGTTGGTGTTACTGTGTAGTATGTCTGGTTTCTTGGGAAGTAGTAATCCACTTAACTTTTCTTAATGCTTTTTGTTGCCTTTTTTAAAAGGGGTACAAACTCCTCTTACTTTGTTACTATTTATATAAAATTTATATTCTTGTTTCATATTTTTCAGAGTCTAGATAATCAACTTTTTAGTTATAATGTACTGTATTTATGTTGAAAGTTATATGTATTTTACTTCTTAATAATTGTATCAACAATGATTCTCAATTGTATCAACAAGTGCATCTAGGGGCCGGGGAGATAGCTCAGTAGAATAAGTGCTTGCTTGGCAAGCGCCTGAGTTCAATCCCTGGTTCCACCAAAAACAAGTGCATCTAAAATGATTCGTTTCTTTTAAAAAATAAACTAGAACATTGATTGCGAACCTATGACACACACGTTGCTTTTCTTTTAAGACAAAAGATGGGGTCCGAGGAGATAGCTCAGTAGAATAAGTGCTTGCCTGCTTTACAAGCGCAGGGTCCTGAGTTCAATCCCCGGTACCGCAAAAAAAAAAAAAAAAAAAAAGACAAAAGATGTTAATGTATGCGTTGCTGTGCTAAACTAAAACCTCAGTATTTTGATTTAATTTCAGTGTTGGTACTCTGCAATAAATAAGTGGCTTTGGATACTCATCTTCAAAAGGTTCGCCATCATTGAACTAGAATTTCTTAAAGAAAATAGACAAATTACCTTAACTATATAAATAGAATTTTGGTTCTTCTATTCTGAGAAAGTTATATATTAAGGAATGTGATTTTTAAAAACAAATATAAATAAAAATATGAAGATTCTGAACTATTGAAATTTGCCACATAGTCTTATTGGAATAAGAATATGTTTTCTTAAGCCTTCCTCTGAGCCAAACAAAGCCTTCTCATGAGCAAATTAAGGAAAACAAAGTGTAAGACACATTTTTTTGTGTTTCCTTTGGGTGCTGGAGATTGAAATCAGAGCCTCAAACATGCTAAGCCCATACTCTACCACTAAGCTCTTCCCCCAGCCCCTAAATGATAGGATTCTTAGTGATTAGATTGTCTCATGAGAAGCATTAGTCAGTGCATCAGTCTTAACATATAAATGTTTTGTCTTTTTATTATTATTTCATCTTATGTATAAGCATGTATGTGCCGATGTATTACCAGAAGTTAATATATATTCATCTTCAGTGTTTATAGTTCAGTATGTATGTCAGCAGACAGTTTGAGGCCATTCACTTCACTTTTGACCTTTGCTATGGAAGTCAAGAACATTTAAAATAATACTAGAGGTAGATTTGATTTTTCTGAAGAGCTGTTCTGTATCTAATCTCTGGAAGATGCCACCTTTGAAAAACAATTTATTTAAGAAGAAGTAAACCTCCTTTTATTATTAGAAAGAATATAGGGGCCGGGGCGATGGCTCAGTGGAGTAAGCGCTTCCCTGGCAAGCATAAGGGCCTGAGTTCAATCCCCGGTTCCGCAAATAAATAAATAAGTAAAATAAAAAATAAAGTATACCTGTAAAAAGGAAAAATATGATTGTGTTTAAATGCTGTAGGTAGATACATTTGTAAATCAAGAGTAATTTTTGGAAGGTTGGTATTTTAATTTTTTAGGATGTTCTGATATTGATGAATAACTCATCTGACTTTCCCCAAATTATTGGCATGCATCTATTTAAAACTATGCCAATACTTAGTGTTTTCAGTTTAGGTGCTAAATGTTTCTTAATTATTCTGTTGAGTCAGTAGTTTTCCTCCCTTGAGAGTATAGAGGGGCTGGGGAGATAGCTCAGTAGAATAAGTGCTTGCCTGGCAAGCGAAAGGGCCTGAAGTTCAATCCCCAGTTCTGCAAAAGAAAAAGAAAGAAAGAAAAAAGAAAGTATAGAAAATAAAAAAAACTTTTGAGGGGCTGGGGAGATGGCTCAGTAGAAAAAGTGCTTCCCGGGGCTGGTGAGATGGCTCAGTGCTCTAAAGCACCTACTTGGAGCAGGCTTGGCAAAGCACAGGGACTGCGGTTCAATCCCCCAGCACCACATGCCAGCCAGCCCTGCCCCCTGGTGGGCTGAGCTGGCCACACACACACACACACACACACACACACACACTAAATAAATGAATAAAATTAAAAAAAAAAAAAGAATAAGTGCTTCCCTCTCAAATGCAGGGGCCTGAGTTCAATCTCCAGTTCCACCAAAAAAAACCCAAAAATCTTTTGACCCTTAAAATATGTAGCACTCAGGTAGAAAAGACTTGGATTTCTTCCCCAGAAATTCAGAATCCCTTGAAAAGAAATGTTTTCTGTTATAAACCAAACAGCTATCTTATCTTCAAAATAATTTTTCTGGGAGCTGGGGAGATGGCTCAGTAGAATAAGGGCTTGCTTGGCAAGCACAAGGGGCCTGAGTTCAATCCCTGGTTCCACAAAAAAAATTTAGGGGCCAGGGAGATGGCTCAGTGGAATAAGCTCTTCCCTGGCAAGCGCAAGGGCCTGAGTTCAATCCCTGGTTCTGCAAAAAAAAACCAATAAAATAAAAAAGGATAATTTTTCCTAGTGAAGCATGTGTAATGTTGATTGCATGTTGAATAAAAATTAAAAATTTTAATGTTTTGCATAATAATCTTTTGTGAATGATTTGAATCTTTTAAAAATTCCCTATTTTTCTATCTGACGGTTAAGTGCCTCCTTTGCTGCCCATGGTTAGACAAAAAGAAACCAATTTGCACTAATAGTACCTAAATACTATTTCATGGTACATTAATTTTTCAGAAAGGATGCTAAATGTCATGGTTCAATATTACTTAAGCAGGCTTCTGTTAAATTCTTCTCAAAAAAAAATATTTTTAGAGTAATGGCAAATACAACTAAATTCATTTGATTATCAGGATGTCAGCAGGGTTTCCTTTTTTACCTTTGGCTTGTTTTTCTAGTCCATAATGTATTAAGCACTCTTTTATTACTAGGGTTTAGAATTACAAGGATAGAGTATCTTTTTGCAGAGCAGATAGGGGGTCTTGAATGTAGATAGAATGAAAATAATGTAATTAGAATGTAAAAAAGCAGGCATAGACAATATATTTTGGTGAGTTTATAGTATCATTTAAAAGTAATTAATGTAACCAAGATATTTGCTTTTAACTCTGGGCTATTTATTAGTTTGGCTAAAGAGAGAATTGGTCCAGTAAGTTTTAGACAAGTTAAGCTTTGAACTTGGTCTGTGGCTCCTTCCTTTTTTTCCCTCCATTTATTTATTTATTTATTTTTCCTTATTTCAGACAAGTAGCTTTTTTAAAACTAGATAAGTTTTATTCAGTTGTGCTATTTTAATTCAAGTGCCTTTGGTTTAGAAAAGTTATAGCAATATATGTATATATATTATATGTATATATATTATATAAAACTTTCTCATGAAATGTAGAATTTGATTATATTTTAATCTTCAGTTTTACATAACAGTAAATATTAAACTTTCTGGTGTGCAGAAAACATTAATCATGACAACTGATAATATTTAATTAGTTTGATTTTATGTTTAATTATAAAGATACCCTAGGGCAGGGTGTGGTGCCACATGCCTATAATCCCAACTCTTAGGAGGCTGATGCAGGAGGATTGCTGTGAGTTTGAGGCCAGCCTGAACTACAGAGAGAATCACTGTCTCAAAAAAAAAAAAGTTATGTTGGGTATGGTGGCACATGTTTGTAATCCCAGCACTCAGGAGATTGAGTCAGGAGAACTTGCTAGTACAAGGCTAGCCTGAACTTCATAGCATGACCCTGTCTCAAACAAACCAACAAACAATGTATAAAAGACATCACAATATGCATGTTATAGGAAAATGTCTTTTCCTGTGAAATGTAGCCACATAGTTGTATGTATGTAAAAAATTTTATTTTTTAATAATGTGGATGCCATTCTTGAGTGTTTTTTTTTCTATTTGTTTTGGATTGTTTTAAATATACAAAGACTATAATAGTGTATTTTCCTGTTATTGATGTAAGACATGTAAGACAAGTCTAGTTGTAATTTTATAAATGTTTGCAGGAATATATAAACTTCACATATTATAGTATCTCCTTTGGTATTTGACCAGCACTGAGAAAAGACAAGACAGGGACTCCTTCTTTGTCTTTAGACTTCTTTATTCCCTGGCCTTCCTCCTCCCCCTCTCCTAACTCCCCTTCTTATATCCCCCCCACCCCCCCGGACCTATCAGAGGGAGCCAAGTATATCGTCCGACACAGGCAATAGGCCAACAGCCAGTTGCCTCGCAGGGCTGTGCGAACCAATCAAATCTTGCCAGCAGGGACCAGGACTATGCAGGAAACAAGACTCGTCGCAGAAGCTCCAGCGGGAGGGGCAAGGCTGAGGAGCAGGGCGCCCGCGCCCGACAGGTATTTTTTTTTTCATGGTCTTAAAATGGAATTTAAAACCTTAAAAATGAAAAGCTTTTTTTCCTGGTGAATTAAGACAATTAAAGAAAATATAGAATGAGTCTGATCTGTTTCCCTTTTCTAAAGAAAAAACAAGACTTCATTGTTTAATATACATTCTTATTTGCCTTACCCTTTATTAAAAGGTATTTGTTGTAATGTTATAAAGCTTAATATATGATGCTTCATTTTGAAATGAAGCAGAAACTTTAAGCAACATTTTAAACTTTTTTTTGGGGGGGGTTCACTGTATTGCCCAGGTTAGCCTTGAATTTCAGAGCACAAGCAGTCCTCCTGCCTTAGCCTCTAGAGTAACTGGAAATGTATCTACAGGTGTGCACCACTATCCCTGGCTTGCATCTAAGGTTTTTTTCTTTTTTTTTTTTTTTTTGGTACTGGGAATCAAATTCAGAACCTTGTGCTTGCCAGGTAGGCCCTGTGCCAGAGCTGTATCCCAGGCTCTAAACATTTTTAATATTATTACTTTAACTGATTAATGTTGTTGTGCCATATTAAAATTAAAACAGATGAACAAAGCAGTCCTCACAGCCTGGGAGAGAAATGGATTTTTTTTTTTTTTTTCCCGGAACTGGGGATTGAACTCAGGCCCTTGTGCTTGCCTGGGAAGCACTTATTCCACTGAGCCATCTCCCCGGCCCCCAGAAATGGATTTTTAAATGAGTTGCTTTTCAATCTGTGAGTAAATGGAAATCACACTAAATTTTAATTTTCATTGATTTTAGTAGATAACAGGAATCACTTTGTAGTGGCTTTGTTTATGAGAACTTTCTAATAAATTCAAAGTGTTTTAATT